TTAGGAGCGTTGTAAAATTAATGTAAAAAGCAGTGTATTCACTGTAGTATCTCTCCTGTTACCACAGCACAGCTTGTGCTTTCAGAAAAATGCGCAGCACAGTATGAAGTCAGCCTTTAAGTATGTTTATTTACTCAACAGTGATTAGAAAAAACAGGTGAATTGTTCTTTTCTGGCTTGTTTTGTTTGAAGGCATTTTATGGCAAGAACAGTTAGAAGCAGAAGGTTAGGAAACCAAAGATTTTTTAAGACTTTGTTCCTGCTTACTGAACTTTTTATCAGGTGCATATCTTCATCTGGCTTAACTGGAGCCGTGAAATTTACCCTGGGCTTACTAAATTGGGGCAGCAGATCTGTGATGCTTCTCTGCAACAGGGAACGTGTTTCTCCTGCACTGGCTCTGAGGGATGTGGAGCACTGGAAGGGGACATTGGCTCCCTGTAAGTGAGTTTATCCCAGTGCTCTGTGTGGTATGGGCATTGATGCTCAGAAAGCTCATCTGTTAAAGAACAAGCCTTCAAAAGTTACTCTTGAGAAACAACAGTCAAATTAAAGGCATTTCAAACATCTGCAGAGTATGGGTAGATCAGGAAACAGTTTTGGGTGGGACTTTCAAAGCCATCTAAAGAATGAAGGTGACTTAAGTGACCCGTGAGAAGTGAGTGGCTAGTTCCCTTCATCATCTGTGTTGAGAAGTGCTTTTAGCCTGGATGGAACTGGAGCTCTGTATGGTATCAGTACAGTGGAGGCCAGCTCTCATGACTTAAATAAGGTCTACCTGTTGAAGTGCGTTTTGGCAGTCTAGCAGCAGGTACTCTGAAGGCTGCTTCTGGCCTCTCACTGTGCATCAGCAATTGCACCTCCTCAGGCCCCTATTGACATGTCTGTGCTGACAGAAACCACATGCATAGGTCTGGTGATGGCTCACCTGGGACCTACAAACTCGCCCTTCTTCTTGGGTATGCTCTTGTGTTACTAAATGCATGGGACAGATCAGTGTGAAGCACTGAAATAACATTTATATCACTGTTGAATATAATTGCTTAATGTAGGCTTGTGTGTATAAGTCACAGGAGTTGAGCTTAATGTGGCGATAATTCAACCACATTCAAAAGGTGCAGAAGAGAGGAATGATCACCATGCCGTGATTTCTTTATACAAACCAGCATAACTGAGAAGTACAATACTGAGTTGAACATGGAATGCTCAATTAAAGTCACTTGCTATTCGGTCTGTGACAAAGCTGGGGGGACACAACAATGGCCCTGCCAAGCTACCTGCAGGATTAGCTGCCTCCTGCATCAAGGTCTTTCTTTACCAGCCTTCCCCTCGGATATGTTAACATTGTAAGCACTGCTGTGAATAGAGTATATGTATGCAGCCATGGTTTTAAGTAACTTGTTTGAGATCTTATAGTACCCTAGCCTCAGCTGGTCAGGGCTCGCCATAGACTGCAAAATACATCTTAGAGGTAAGGGCAAGGTGAGCTCCGCAGCTGCTACCTGTGTCTAAGCTGGCTGGTTTATAGCTGTCCTGTGTATGGCTGCCACGCACTGCTGTGGTAATTAATACCTGAGCAGTGACAGTAGCATAAACAAACTCTGGGAAAAGATTTGGTTTGGCTGGGGAGCTACTCTTGTGATAAGACTTCTTGCTCCTACAGATAGATGAAGGAGGGGGTGTCTGATGTCCAACAGGAGCCTTTCAAAACTGTCACCATTCTGTCATTTTTCAGGTACTACTGTGAGCACGTGATACTACAAACTCTCTTGACTCCTGGGGGAAAAATACTGTATCTTAATAATTTCTCCCCCCTTCCCTTTTTTATTTCAACCTTCAAATAATTTTTTTCAGGAGAAAAAGATAAAGTGATTTGGGGCTCAGTTCACACTTATGCTCTAGACTTTGTATGTGACTATGGATAGTAGGTTGTGCTTTTCTGTACCCCAGTTTTCTCTCCATTAAATTAGAATTGGCACAGTTTTAGAATCATTCATGTAATTGTGCTAATTGAGTATAGAGGCAAGATCTGCAAACGTAAGCCTACCAAAAGATACAGGAAATTGCAGAGGTTGGTTTTGAAAGATCCCAGTGTCAGACAGCCAAGTCTGTGAGTATAGGTGCCTTACCTGATTGTTTTAGAAAATTTAATTGGGAATCGGGCTGCAGAGTGCCTAAGTGCCATGGAGATTGTAGCTCTAGGGTCTTTCATGTCCAAAGAGATTTTAAAATGGGGACTCGTATTCCTTATTTGCTGAACAGATTTTTAAACTGCTACTAAGTCATAACGTTTCTGTTGTTGTTTGTCTGTTTTGTCTAATTAGGTTCTAGCAAAACAATTGCAATCTCTTTTACTTTGTGTTTGTGCTGTGCCAGATAGACATAACCCTGAATTTAGTTCTCCTGTAGATGCGAATTCAATAAAAATAACAATACTTGTACTAATGAGAATAACTATGTGAAGCCAGAATTCATGCTATATTAGTATCCATTAGTGACTTAGATCTCTAATGAAGGTTTCCCTGCTCTCTGTTGTGTGTCTCAATTCATTACAGGTCAGTCCATAATATTTTATTAACAACATTGTTATTTTTTTTCTGGAACTGTTGCCCAAAACTATTGGAAGAATATGTGCTTTCCCATAACATCAGAATGAGACAAATGGCACTGCTTGCTTTTATTATTGTACAGAAGTGTCTTTCCTTTGGACTCAGATAGACTTGTAAATGGCAAGTAGCTGGAGACTAATGGAGCACATGCTTCAAAGCTTTCCATCTGGTCCCTTGGTGAGCAAAAAGAATATATGGTCTATGTTCTAATCAGTCCTCATTATAAAGTACTCCTGCTCCAACTTCCTACAGAAACTCTTACCTTTACTCAGAGAGGGAGAGGGCAACAAGTACTATCCCCTTATGCATCTGCAGGAGAAAAATGAACAGGGTAAAAAGATAAATTGAGGCAGACTAATTTCACTCTCTGAAACTGAATAATGCACCTGTCAACAGGTATTTATTCTGGTGGCCTTCAGTGACATTTTCTAGTCACAGCAGAAGAAAGGCTAAAATTGTGTCACAGAGATGCTGTACATTAGTTGAGTGAGCGAGAACTGTATTAATCTGAATGTGAGCAAAGCTACTTAAATTAAGACCCCTTTTCTAATTTGTTACATTGGAATCTTCCTCAGAGCTCCTCCTCCAGTCATCCCATCAAATAGCCCCTATTTATTCATTTATTTATTTTATTTATTCACATACATTTAGGAAGAAAAAGGAAGGAGATACTCCCTGCAATGGAGGCCATCTGCTCTTTTCTTACCGGGGGGGAAAAAACCCTACAATTAGTGTCTTGTTCATCTTTTCATTTTAACAAAAAAAGAGAGGAAAAGAAAGAGAGAGAACTATTATGCAAATACTCTGCAATTTGGTTTCAAATATTCTTTGTACTATGATGAGCAATTTCCTTTAACACAAACTCAGCCTACTTGCCAGGACTTTTTTTTGCCTTAATATAGGGAAGGAAAAAAAAAAACAACTTTTGGGAGTTGGGGGGTGTGCTGTGTTCTTCTGATGCCAACTTCTCCTCGTCCTTTTTTTCTGTCCTTCTTTCTTTGGCACTATTACAGCTGTTATTCTTTAAGTTGTCAGAAAGATGTTGTATAGGTTTTTTGAGAAAGAAGGAGAACCAAAATAGCTTTACAAAGCTGCAGTTTCATCTCACTTTTCATTGTTCCATTGCCATGATGAAGTCTTGAAATGGAGAACTCAGCTTAGTGAATGAGAGAGAAAAGCTTTCTTGATGCTTTTTTTGAATGCCAGTTGCTTGTGAAGGCAGCATTACTTCTAAGAACAGACATGTAGGTTTTTTTATAAGGAGTTTCTGTGCTACTTGTCAGTGGTATGAACTTTAGGGCCAAATAGCATAGCCAAGATTAAGTCTGTGTGGTCCTTGGTACTGGACAACCTAGCTTGCTATCTGAAAACCTCTGAAAGCTTATGATCTGGAAAAGATAAATAAAGTGTAGAAGAGAGAAAGGAGTATTATTTCCTGTTTACTGTGTGGGAAGCTGAAGCATGATAAAAAATGAACTAACTCATCCAAGATCTATTGGGAGAGGACTTTTGAAGAATGAGGAGCTGAGCTAAAAGGCTCAGATTTAGAAAGCTGCTGGATTGTTACTTGTGGCAATGTCAGGAGATAGGTAAGACTGCTACTGCAGCTGGGCTACCACTGTACCAGCCCAACCACTAGTTTAGGCTGTTACTGTACAACAGTCATAGAAACAGCAACATGGTCATATCCTAATGGCTTCACAAACCTGCTGACTTGCAGTGGGACTTGGGAACATCAGACACATTTGAAAAGCCCCCGCCAAACCTCCTGATTCTTAATGCTTTGCAGGTTGAACTTTGAGAAAGCTTCAGTCGACATATCAGTGCTACATGCTTAAGCCTATAAAATACTAAGCATAAAATCTTTGATCCAGTAAGGTGTTTAGCACAGCTTAATCAAACAAACATCTTGCCAAATGAGGCCTAAATGGCTATCTCACTATGCATGGGTGGCATAGTCTGCTTGCATTAAAAAAAATCTGATGCCCAGTAGATTTGACCACAAGTTGGGAAAATATATTCAAGGAACAAAATTAAGGGAAGTAAAACAAGACCAATGAGACCTTTAAGCAAGGTCAAGTGTGTCACCATTACATCTTTGCTTCTGTGGCTGTAACAGGACAGGGAATATAGGGCAGTGCAGAATTTCTGATCTGAGCCTTTACTGGATCTGTTCAGATAGTCTGCCCCGTTTCCTGGGGCTCATTACATCAAGCATACATTACATCAGACTGGATTTTGCCTAAGTATGCCTAGCACTGGATAGACAACACAGGAATTCATGGTACTTAGGGGACGCTGATCCCCTTCAGATGCTGTATGGGAAACGGGAAATCTATTCATAGAGTCTTTAAGCACACTGGAGTAACAGAGTCACTTTTATTATTACAGGAAGCTCTTATCATGGCCAGCATGGACCACCCACACCTGGTGAGACTCCTGGGTGTCTGCCTGAGCCCCACTATTCAGCTCGTCACTCAGCTGATGCCTCATGGCTGCCTGTTGGATTATGTCCATGAACATAAGGATAATATTGGTTCCCAGCTTCTGCTAAACTGGTGTGTCCAAATAGCTAAGGTATGTAGTTCTTGTTGTTCCTTTTTTATCATTTTCACAACTAACTGAAAAACATGACATACCAACAAAAGATACAAAAAACATTGTTTGGGTGTTTGTGTTTTTTTTCCAGGCATTTTTTTGTTTTGTTTTCAAGAAGGTTGGATTTTTCTTGAAATACACATTATTTTAGCCGCTTACAGTATTATAGATGACTTGTTAATATGTCAACCAAAGTGTTTTTCTTTGACTGTAGTTCTAACTCGGTGTTAATGGGGGGTCGGTCTTTCAGGGGGAAAAAAAAAGTGAGGGAAGAAGCCCCCTGTGTGACATCTGGGGCTGAGCAGAGAATGATTTTTCAGCCTTTTCTACTGTTCCCTGTTCATAGATACTGATTTAACCTGATTGTAGTTTTCAGCCTTTCTGAATCTGCATTGCCAGTTAAATTCTGATATGCCATCAGTTGTCTGCCCCCACACTGCCAGGAAGATAAATATTCACTTCATGTCACTCCTTTGGGAACCACTGCGGTTCTGCTGTGTTTAAGACCTATCACAACAGCTGAGGCTGGAGGGTAATATTGCTCCTCTCTGCAGAATGGGAAATCTCAAGGGCTGGATCCTGCTTTGCTTGCTCTGCCTTCCTGTGGGGTTTTGGGAGCAAGAGTGAAGCCATTATCGTTCATATACAGACTGCACTTCAGCTGAGATGGAGCACAGTATAAGTCATAAAGGCAGCCCTCGCGTAATCCTTGCACAATGTTATGCCCATGTTTTCAGGTATGTTTAGTTACTCAGCGTTGTACTAAGAACAAGATAATTGGTTGCAAGGAGTAACAAGATCTGAGAGTGTAGAGGTCATAGTTTTTATCCATTTTAAAGGCTATTCTGTGCAACCAGAGTTGTATACAGTGATGTTACTACAAATAAGGATCTGGACCTCTCTTTATTTAGTTATTTAGAAGTTACTTTAAAGTTTTGGATAGATTATTTCGGTGAAAATGCTTGTTACATAAAAATACGTGCCACGGACTGCTCTCTTATATTAAATCTGAAGCCTTAAGTGAATTTCCTACATCTAATACAAAATCTTAATTCAAGTTGTAATGTTAAACTTTTAGCATTGGGAGAGAAACCTGGAGAGAGTCATCATTTGTTTTGCTGGACCAAATAACAGCCATCAAGTAAACATTCATTTATTTTTAAAAACTGAAATACAAAATATTTTCTTACAAAAGTAAGTAAATTGAGAAATTTAGCTAGGCCTGAATTTTTGCTCAAGGAGTGGAGGAATTTGAGGTTCCTCATTAATAGGGACTGTTTCCTTTCCCAGATCACATCTGTTGTCAAACCTGCCTGAAGGTGACAGTAGTTGAAATGACCAGACTAAAGGATAGAGGAGTTGATCCATAGAAGAGGTGGAGGGAATCCCAAACCCACATTCAGATGTTGCAGCATTTCCTAGATGTGTTAATAACTCTGATTCTGCTGTGCTGTGGTGGTAAAGCAGCCAGAGTTTCATGAAATATTGGAACACACTGATGGGGGTTGCCTGTATCTGGAGATTTGCAAAGGTTTATTTAGGGCTGTTATCAGACTGAGGAAGGTGGGGGGAGAAAATACATATTCCTGTTTTGAGTCCTTCCTCTCAACACAACCTCCTTCCCATCTGTTCTTCACTCTCTTGATTGATAGTGGCTGTTATTATTTATTACAAAACGTTTACACAGTGGCATATGTGAAAAGATAATCCACCTTTGTTTTCAGTTTGTGCATGCATATGGCCACTAACTCATTGAACTAAGAGCTGTACTTGCTTTGCTATGGACTTCATGTGGGCAGCTGATTTAGTGAAGCAAATAGCCTGATCCATAGTAGAGGCTTACAGAGCTGACAGATCTGTGGGAGGGGCTGTGGAAGGCAGGTCATGGTTTTCCCATGGTGATTCTTACCAAAGTGAAACAGGTTCTAAACTGATTTCCATTGTAAATGGTTTCAGCATAACATGGGGATTGGATTTAGGTACACTCATTTGAAAATCAATGCCTGGCAGTTTTCTTGATTACCGTGTGATGTGGGAGGAGAAGATGAGGTATTACAGATATTTGAGTTCTGAGATGGTGGGTAACCAAGCAGTGCAAAGAAGTGAGATCATATGCGTAATATTAACTGATAAAGCGTCAGGAAGAGAAAGAGAGTTTTTTATAGCAAAAGGTGGCCTATTATTGAGGGGAATTTTTGTGAAGTTTAGTTAGTTTATTGGAAGTTGAATTAAATTAATCTTCTTCTGTATCACAATAATCCTGAGGTTAATTTTGCCTTGACCTCACGTTACAGCATGAAGTTCATCCATTTGTCTAACCATAAAGGGGACAGCAGCAGGTGACTATTTTCTTGAAAAAAATACAGTACCTTGGTACATATGGCTGACCTGTTAACTCTGGGCCATTGCAGTGTGTCTAGATTATTTTCTTCTCAGTTTCTCCATGTGTCTCTTCCCCTTCTCTTATTTTTACTGCAGTGGGTGGTACTGGGCATGGAGACAGTGTGCATCTGACAGGGAGTGCCGCATTTTGCCGCTTTTGTGTGTGTATCAGTGGTATTTAGTAGGGGATGGATTGTTGTAGTTAAGATCACCACAGGGTACTGACTACCTGCATACCATGCCAGTAAGGCACAATCCTTTTGCAAAAGTAGAATCTAAAGAATAAAAATGTACCTTTAACTCTTTATTTTCTTCTTGGTTTTGGAGACCTTAAATGACAGTTGTGTGTTGAAAATCTTCCTTGTCAGGTTGCATGTATGCATAAAGATACATATCTTAATTATTATATAGGGAGCTACCAATGAAGTGAGAAAACACGTAGGGACATATGAGGCTCAGCACACCTCATAATATATGAGTAATGCAAATGTTGCACAGAACTTTCTGCATTGCATTGTGCTTTCTGATGGGATACAGAAATGCCTATTCCCTTGCTATGTCTCAGACTGTAATGTTAATTGGGGTGAGGGGATGTACGCAAGAAAATGTTTCAGAACTGCTAGGAAGAATAATCTTTGAGATCACCAGACAAGGAGTCCCCTGATCCCCAAAAGTGGTATAAAAGTCCTAGTCCTCTGCTAGCAGCAGGGGAGTAGTAATACTTGTTTTCCACTCATCTGTCACATTTAACAGTAACTAGGAATCAGTCTGCAGCCTGCAAATAGGAAAGATTCAATTTGCGTACAAATAGACTGGTCTCCAGAGGAATGAACTCAGAAGGTGCCTATTGCATCAACCACAAGTTTCCATTCACTGCGGGAAGGGTCTGTGTACCCACATACTTGTGTCCACTGTGCTCACCTTTCAGGCTCTGCCATACAGCTTGAGAGTGTCTCTACACATCTTGCTTTTCTAGACTTTCAGAAATGACTGGTTGTGTTGTTCTGAAAGCTACCAAAAATGTGATTAGCAATGTAATAAGAGGCAAAAATGATCAGTGACCTCCCAATCTTATTATCTGCTCCCTGAAGCAGCTTCTGGTATCTTTTGTTAGATACATCTTTCTGCCCTCAGCTTTCCTCTTTCTACAGTGAGAATTTTCCCCAACAAGAGGAGGATTGAAGGAATTGGAAATGCCTCGATTCTGAAGTTCAGGCTGATTTTTACGAATCGTTTAAAATCAAGTTGCTGCTGCAATACCGTTCCTCCCTACTGCGCTTTTCTCCATCTGCCAATGTGCAGGCATTTATTTATCGAAGTCGTTGCTTCAGAGTTCACTTGTTCTGCCAGGCTGTTCATTTCCATATGTCTCTGCTTCTGTACAACTAGATGCAAAAACTAGTTAGGCACTATGCCTGGTTGCCAACCTGCATATGGCTCTGGAGATCATTTCTGAAGGTTGACAATAGGGCAGTTATTAAGTATTATCTACTGCCAATTGAAAAAAGCTTGCATGCTTTTTCTTTTCGCTTATACAGATTGTGTTGAATTTATTCTGACTGTTACATCATTGTAGGGTAATTGTGTTCTCCTTCCAGAAGCTTTAGCTTCTTATTTTATGGATGAAAGTTATAAAAATAGAGTAGCCCCCAAGCATTCTGCATAAAACATGGTTGTTAGACAGCAGCTGTGTCTAAGGGGGTTTTTCCCTTCTGCTTTGCAGATACACAAGGCATCTCCCTGTGTCTCACTTCTATGTGTACTGTCTCTCTGAGGGACTGAATATTTAACCTTTTAGCTCTGAGTTCAGCTCAGCAATTTTATGTGGAGTTTGATGTCCAGTAAAGAAGTAAACTATGCTCACATATCAAGATGCTTCTAGAGTGGGAGCAAGAGTGACAAGCTTGGTGGCCTTAGGGTATGGAAGGATTGAATAATGCTTCGTGGACATCCGTAGTGTTGGCTACTTGAGAAACAGGTTGAGAATCAAATTCTAGGCATGAGCCTACAAGTGAATTCTCAGTAGATGAATTATGTCCTTGTCAGCCAGTGCATGACATGCATGTATATCAGTAAGATTTAACCAAAATTAAAAAAAACAGGTGCTGTGTGCATTGATATTTCAGTGTGTTTGATATAATTTCTCTCATCAAGGGCTGCCGAAACACTCCCTGGCAACTTGGAGGTGTGGGGGTGAGGACATTCTTATGGAAATGCATTCAAGAGGGGAAGAAACATCTTGTGGTTTCTAGTCAGAGAGAGTTGGTTACACTCCGCTGCTAGGTGAGGTTAACTATAAAGCACCTTTATCTGAGGCCGTATCCTCTCACTGTTACTCTAGTGGAAAAATTAGCCTGAGTTCTGTTGGAATTATCGTGGGCCTTTGTGCTATGCTTGTCTCTCCCAAGGGCATATAGAAATGCATTTTTGCTTCTGTAACATTTCATACAACAGTTGTTAAATTCAACATAGAAGTTCAACCCAGGCAGACCCATCTACCGTTTTACTGGTTTTTTTTTCCTGGTAAAATTAAGGTTTTGTTCTGCTGCTGTTAATTTACATTACATCTGCACCAATTTTGCTGAGCAGTGTTCGAA